AAGATGACTGTACATTGTGTAATATGACTTGATCGTGACACCTTCTCCATACCTTATGAACTTGTTATCTTCAATCTCAACCGGACAGATCAAAAGCGGAAAATCAGTAACCATGAGGTTCACGACAAGTAGACCTTTAATGAAAGGGGAGTAGTTTGGTTACATACTTAAGGCACTCGTGCGAAGTGGAAAGGCGAGGAAATAGAGGAGGGGAAGTTAGGGGAAAGGCCGGGCAAGGCCGAGTTAAGGCAAGTTGAAGTCGTGCTTTTCATGGTCAAATGAGCAGAGTGGGGAGGGAGAGGTAGGGGTTCGAGCAGAAGAGGGAAGGGGAACACGATCCCTGAGTCAAATGGGCTGGCAGTGTAGGTTGGGAAAATATGACAAGACACGCCACCTTTGCAATAAAATGCCCAGGTGCATTAGAGGTTAACATAGGTATGTTCCCGGTTCCCTTTGAGTGTTGTCACTAGATTTGTGTTTACAATAAAATAAAGATATTTATTGCATAACATTATGCCCCACAAAATCTTGCAAACCTAATAACTAGTTCTAGATGCAGAATGGACGAGAATGCAACTTTTAAAGCAACATTTGTTGAGCACCGATAACAGCCGGGGTTTGTAACAATTATCAATGAGGATTAAAACGATGCTTGCAGGTGAAAAGATTAAAATGGGATTCTGTGAACATTATAACACTTCAAGAAGTCGTAATGGATCACCCAGGAATGTGCAATAGATAATTAGGCCTCTTTTATAACCATGATCACACAATAAGTATATACATGGTCTAGTAGGCAAAGTGAAATCATGAGATAGGAGTCAGTAGTTTTTAAGTTAAACTTAAATGAGGGTAGAAATAATTTATTAGTTGAGATAGTCGTCATCGCAGTCTATCAGTCCTTACCAAGTAGCAAAAACATGGAAATCCCATCTTTATGGGACAAACAACCCAGCCATCGTCACCACCTTTTCTGCCTCACTTTTAGTGATAAATATCAACTATATTTGCCATTTGATTGTCTCTTGCCAATGTCAAGAAAAGGTGACAAAAGTTGGCGGAACATCAGAAAATTTGGGAGAATGAGGCAAAACACCCTTGCCTAAATAGAAAAAGGCCTTGTCAGGGCTCATTTTCGAGCTAGGAGGTCATGTGTTATCTTGCAGGAATAGGGCTTTCCTCTCGCTAATTCACTAGCCCACCAAAATATTCGTGCACACATTTGAATTGCATCGATCAGATAAACCGAAACTGCAACTTTTTGCCTGGCCTTCAGTAGGAAATCAACTCCTCGGGGACAATTCCATCCACATGCTCTTCTACAAACACGCCCAGAATAGCTGTCTGGGGATTACGTGATGACTGCCTTAGGAGTATAGGGTGGCTAGTAAATTGTTTGTGAATAACCAATGATATATTCGTCCGCTTAACAAACGTTGAAATAAAAAAGCCATTTCTCACAGGCTTTTCATGCAACAAAATGAGCGATAACAGCAAATTTATGGCCTTTGAACCTTGTTGTCATCTGCTAATGCATGCAGCACCCGTTTGCATAGTGGCTTCCACTGCAACTTTCCCAACTGATATAGATTTAAGCGAATTGTTTCAACATTTACGCCAAACACTGATAAAAGAATGTTTCCAGACACGTATAGCTCGATTTTATCGAATCAGAAGCTACACATAATTCTTTATAATTATCATGAATAGAGGATCTTTACAATCCGTCCTCTTGGTGAATCTTTGGGTTGCTTGTCACAGCCGAATGTCGGCTTCTGGACGGTACGCTTTGTAAAATTACACCGTGCCTTCTCCAAGTGCTGCACGAAATAAACCACAGGAAAAACTCACACATTTAGAAACACTTTCAAATTTGTTAGGCAGAAAAGACCGATTAACCTTATTTTCAGGCGACATTCTATAATATGAGGGTTCTGAATAGCAGAAAAATTGTAAAGGACACAACAGAGGGTACCATGTCAATAGCCTGACTCGTATGTACATACTCTATAACGTAGGCATAGAAACAATTGCATTAAACCAGTCCCTAGACAATACCAAAGAATAAATTGACTTTTTTGGTTAACAAAGAGCTTTAGAGGAAAGAGATTTAGTAAGCCCCGCGGAACAAAGTAGGGGAAAGTTAGCAGAGCCGAAGCATATTTTTCTGTACCGGAATGACACGCTTTAGTTTTGTAAACGATCACCTTTTCAGTCTCTCGTCAATTGGTTTTCGATACGATATTATAGGGCTTTGCTCATGGCAAAAATGTTATTGGTCTTCTAACCCTTCCGTTGGTGATAATTGAACAAGTTCTGGACGTACGTCTTTTATCGCCCTCCGGAGTGACCTGAACACTGAAATTGAACACAGCATGCCAAAATCAGCAGAATTGGCGCTATGTAGGCAAAAATGTTTGTACCCAGCGACAACACCGCCATATCGGATAACATGAAGTTTAAACCGGGAATTCTCTTTAAATTTTGTTCGCACTGATAAAAGATTACATTTTATTGGAAAATAACCTTCTATCAAAGGTCAAAATACTACAAACATCATTTCAGGAATGTAACTGCGACAAAAAGGAAGACATCTCGACCGTTAAAGTTTAGATTAGCATTCAAATAATAACCAATGACTGTTTAGAATTCTATAAATCGGATAGTAATTTTTCAAATTCTTAGCAGGAAGAGAATATTACTGGGTGGCAAAGAAATAAGACTTGGAATATGGTATGAAAATATTCAACCTGACTCTGCAGTAAAATGTTGGCTGTTTATTTAACTCCATGTTTTGTTGAAGGGGCCGCTTAGGTGCTCCACCAATGTACCATCGCTAAGCAGGCTGGCGTCCGAGTCATGTCAGTAGCCCTAAGCCCTATTAGAAGTTTCGAGGCACTATGCCACAGTTAATCAGGAGGTAATATAAGAGTATCACAATTTTATGCACCTTCTGAAGGCAGCTGAAGTCCTGCGTCCGAAGGTTTTTGAATGAGTCCACTTCGTCATTCAGTCGGATAAAGTCAGGATATGCTTTCTTCGCCACTGCTAGGGAGCTACCCACTTTAAATTTGTCGATTAAATCACAGCCTGTATAATTTTGGGGAGATGATTGATCTCTTTCCCTACAACCTCTGATTTTTTAGCAAGCTGATATTCTTCTGCTCCAGAACTCTATAATGAAGTATTAAACAAATCGCCAGACTAACAGTCGACGATTGTTACCTATTCAGCTGAAAAATCCACCTTTCGTTTACGGAGTCGGTTTAAAAAGGAATCTTTTGAAAACTCGTTTTAATGCATCCAATAAGTGAAAAAGAGGTGTTAATATCACAAAGTGGTCCTTATTTTACACCGAGGACCAATAGGTTTTCCATGCACTTGATGAAGCTGCACCAGTGTACAGAGTCCACTCACACGCTGATGTGTGCGAGAAGTCGATTGCCTCTGCAAACTATTCAATCACCGTTGCCTTCCAACTCAGTTGACCCAATTGTAAATGTGCAAGCCATTCATACATTCCTGTGAGTGCACATTTTTCGTCAACTTACGGTGGGTCAACGGCTAAACGTCTCTTTGTTTGTTTCATGAAAGTATGTGTGCATAGAAGCACTTTAACTCTCTTGGGTGAAAAAGACAGCGTTGCCGGTGAGTAATGCGTCACAGTCCTATCAGACTATTTTCATATTGAAAATTAGCATACCACACAGCCCTACCGTTACAGGGGTCCGTTTTAGTGTGCTAATGACGTGAGAGCATTAATAAGATAAATTTGAAACCCGTTTTATTAATAAAAGCAACAGTTTACGAGAATGCGTCTCAAGTTAACTCCCCACTTTTCCAAAAACCAGTTCATAAACGACTGAAAGAAGCATTCGTTTCTTAGGCGTATGCAGTTAAATGGAATTTAAAAGAAGAGATATTGAATGTTTAAATCCACCACCAGGCATAACCGTCTTACCAAAGCCGCTGCCATACTTACTTTGATGCTAGGTTTGGCATGCGATATTCAAGAAGCGAATAGGAAATCTGCTCTGTTAAAAAGCAACCATCCGTCAATGAAAGTACGACGAAGAAAAAGTGAATCAACTAGTTAGTCATCCCTAAGCATGTACACAGTTAAGCGGACTCTGGGAGTCACCTTTTTAGTGCTCTTTTTTGTTAAATTTTCGGTGGATGTCGTGTTATAA